CTGGCTCACTGCTGCCAACTAGTGATCAGAGGCTGAACTATAACATAAAAATGAACGACTGGCAGGAAAGTTGACATTTTAAACCTTAATAAAAAAATCGATACAGGGCTTTAGAATATCGATACAGTATCGGAAAATGAAATATCGCAATATTTCAGGGTATCGATATTTTTTTACACCCCTAGTCTGTATGATCTATTGCTGCTAATAGGTTTGTGAAAGTTTTATCAAGCATATCCTAAACACAAGATTTACTTTTATACAACTCTCCACAAAAAGCTAAAATAACCAAGCCCCTCCTTTAACTACATAACTAAGTGCAGGTGTGATTACAGATTTGCATAATTCATTTAAAAGTAAAAGTCTAAACAACCATTTGAGCCTATTGAGCACTTACCACACTGATGGCAGCAAGGAGCAAACAGCATCTGGAAGTCATGTTCACAGTATTTCCTTCCTTCAAACTGTAAAATGCAACAATCAAAATGTTTACAACAACAAAAAAAAAAAAGTACCAGGTACACACGCCACAAAGGTGCTCAAATTGCGGATTATAGAGCAGATGAGTGCATTACCTCATAGAAGAGTCCTTCTGGAAACTGCTGGAAACACTGAGCACAGACAAAGCACTGCTCGTGGTACAGCTCTCCATTACTATTGACAATCTTCTCAGTTGGACCGAAGCCACTCTTGCACCTCTCACAGGTTGCACTGGCCAGGGCGTTGGCAATGCTGTAACACAAGATCAATAAAATACATATTAGTGTTTCTTTTGTCCCTGTTTTCATATTATTCATAGTTTCTCAAATAACTCCTGCATCTGCAGCTGGAGTTGTGATAGAAAGAATTACAATAAACTCACTGCTCAGTTTTTAGGCAAAATTAACAAGATCTGCTATCAACACATAATTCAGGTTTACATCATGTTTTCTATTTGACATTCCATATTTATCAAGACTCAAGATTATCTTTTTTGAGTCATACAGTCAAAACTTAAATTTAGTTATTTGCCATGTAGTGTTTTAATATCTGCATGTTCATGTACCCTTATGAGACTAAATGCAATGCCTACCTATACCTAAAGAGAGATATAAATGCCAATAACTGGCATCATTTCATCTCTGGCTGGGCTGTTATGAGGAGCCTTTCAAGCTAATGCTAGCATTCTGTTTTCGCTCAAGATGGAGAGGCTAGATAAAGTTTTCGACTTTAAAAATAGAGCCACAACACTAACAAAATATGAAAAATATAACACAATCTTAACCACTTCTTTTAAATATGAAAACATTTGAGCAAATCTGTTAGCAAACTTAACCTCTGCTGTGCTGGCAAGCTAAAGGCTAAGGGTGACGTTAGCTTTAGCTTGTTCGGTTCCGAAGCCCCAAAGAGTTAGGATTTTAAAATGKTTTACCACAATAAAATAAAAATTCTTACCTGCCCGGCATTCCTGCGACCCCCAGCATCACCTCTTGGCACTAAAAACCGAGAAATACAGCATAAAATAACTGCTTTTTCCCTTTTAGCTAGTTGCCGAAGTTTACAGGCACTTTCACGCAGTCTTTTTCCATTTAAGGCAGGCTGTTGTTACATATAAATAATAAAAATAAATTCCCACTCCTTTAAGTAATCACTTATTTTAGATATTAATCATGGTGTTGCCATTTATCAAATGCGTTTTTACTGGTGGCTGAAATGTTAATTTTCACAAGAAAAAAATGATTCATGATTATCTGCTTTTAAAATGCAGGCCAACTATTACATTATAAATTAGCTTGCCATACAGGTCAGCCATGGCCCCTCCCTCCTCTGGGCGTGGTTTGAGAAATCATACTTTCAATCTGTCTGATTCAAAAAAAGATTTTGATCAATATTTTAATACAAAAATTAGACTGGTCTACAAAAAGGTAAAAGAAATGTAAAGAGCAGACAGAAAACATCGACATGCTTAATAAATAAGGCGCTATAAACAAAACATGAAATCCTACCCCCATTAAAAACTGTCCTTACTAAATTATTCATTTATTAGAGATAATTAAATTCATTAAATGTAAAAATCAAGTGTGCCTACAAACAACGAAGGCAATAACACAGAATAAGCAGACTATTCATTTTAATTGCAAGTTGCAGATACAAACCAAATACAGATTTAGAAACTGTTTAAATGAAATAAAAATAATAATTCACACAAAATATAATTTTATGTTCTCTTTCTTTAATGTGACTACTCAATTTATTAAAATATTATTTTACTCTGACCAATAAATTTCAGTATTTTGCAGCTCCATTAGGAGGGAAAATAACAGCCTATACATTCCCAGTCCTCAGAAATTACATAAACAATCATCATGCACGTCAGCATTAATGCTGACTACATTACCCAGCAGAGGCCAAATAAAAGTCCACTGACAGATCTGACTATCAGATATAAATATAATATTAATTATAAGTCTTGCGCAGAATATTAAAGCAAAGCAGTTACTTAAAAAACATTTAATWTACAAAAAAGGGTGAAATAACACTGTAAACCAGCACAGCTCAACAATGTTTTGTTTTGTTTGCAACAACATCCTCTTTTACAGTCCCCTTTATGACAWTTTTATTGTCACGTTACAGGTTAAAAACATTCAGTTGCTTGATCAAACTATTTCCTACATAATGTTTTTACACAAAGAAAAGTGATTTACAAACTGGCCAAAAAAAAACAAACAAAAGTAAAATCCATCCTGTGATCATCTTTCCTGTCAGACAGAAGCGACAGCTCATTTACAAACCAAGACTTTATTTTCGTTTTTTACTTTTCTACTCATTAAAATCAATTTGAGTTTTTATTTTTTTCTCTCCAGGAAACATAGAATAACTCAATTAAAACTTTCTCCTGTTATCCCACCATTACCACAAAAATACATTTTAAGAAACAACAAATAACTTTATATGTAGTGAAATGATTACAATGGGTTTGTCTAAAGATTCAACCTTTTTAAAGTACAAAAACTAAAACAAATTGTTTTAGAAAAGATCAACCACAGTGTTCAGGCGTTTTTAGACTCGCATCAAGCCAGGATTATGTTTACGTTGCTCGATGTTTAAAGAAATTGCTTTAAAATTCCACATTTAAATCTAAAACACTGGTTAAAATGGAAATAAATTCATAAAAACAAACAAACCTCAAAGACAACTGTTGATAAAAGTCATCATTTGGCTACAAAAGCTTAGAACCTTCATTAGAAGAAAAGTGCATTAAAAATCATCTATATTTACATATATACTGGATAGTGTTCATAAATATATTTGCTCCCCGATTTGTATGTTTATTTTTTTAAATAAAATATTATTTACAATTTGAACAGGAACAAGGGTCAGGCAATGCAGAAAGGGCCTGTAATTAAACAAAAATATGTTAAAACCGTTGTAGATATTTACAGCTCTTTAAAGATGGAAAATGATGTTTTTAACCGGAGAACATCGCTTTGATAAAATGTTCTTGGAGCAATTTTGTCAAACAAAAAACAGACGGATGGAGATTTACTTTTTGATGTGAGTTAATTAAACATTTAAAGATGTGAAAGGACAGATAAAAGAGACAAAAAGCACAGGAGGTAATAAAAAGTTTGATAATAGGCCAAACAAAATAACTCAGAAACACCCAAATAGTTTAAATTCTGTCGAAATTTRAAACAACAAACGCTCCGACTGAAAGATGTACTGTCATTTATTTAACTTCACTWAACTGTTGTGCCTAAAACCTGATAAATCCTATAAGTCTTCATATTTTTGTAATTTAGTCAAATTTAAAGTGATTTATGTAAAGTTCAATTGTTTTTTAACAATTTGAGTCTAATTAAAATTAGACAAAAATCTATATTTTGAGTGTTTATGTGTAAAAAATTGCTTATTTATATTGTTCTAAATGTCACAAATACAAATATGCTGCAACTTATGAGAATAAATGACTCTAGAAGTTCACAATTCATTATTATTACTAAGGTTATTTGATAGGGACAGACACAATAACAGACAAACTCAATAAACCAGCAGTCATGCTCGTGCCGTGTCGCTTATAGCGGGAGTTCATTTGCAGTATTTGTTTCTAGACGGGCTTCTATAACGTGTTTAATAAATTTTTGCCAGATATTTCTGTAAATTTTGATTAAAATTCCCTGGATACTAGAGGTGCACCGATGCCAGCATCAGGTATCAAGCCTGAAATGCTGCTTAGCTAGAAGGCTAATGCTAATGCTAGGCTAAACMGTCAAAAAGGTGACTTCTTTTGACATGTTTTTTCCCGCCAATTTGCTGTGAGTGGGATTTTTGTAATCTTTTTTTATTAATTTTTTTTGTTTGTTTGTTTTGCTGAACATTAGGGTGTGAAATTATTATTTATGTAAATGTATGTATGGGTGTATGTAT